TACATATATTAAATATATATATTATATATAATTATATGTAGATAATATATATATTATTTTTTAAAGCCTATATACAGAGAGAGGCTTTTCTGGGTCTAAGCCTGAAAATGTTTGTCCACAGGAGTGCATTTGCCCATTTGAGTAGGGTTATGAGTGTAAGCATTTGTAGGGTTAAGGGCATTATTTGTTGCCTGCCAGCACGATTTGCATGGGTACAAGACCTACGCTCAGGTCACCAGCTATGGCAGCCAGAAGAATCTTCTGCATCTGCACTCCAATGACCATCTACAGCTGGCTCCTGAGTGGGCAGTGGGCAGCAGAAGGTCACAGCGTAGGTTCCTACAGCCCTCCACTGAGGACCGCCTCTGCTGCTCCCAGACAATAAGGGATCTGAGTCACTCCTGCCCTCCTGGATGGAAAGGGCTATAATGAGCATCAACATCTGTCTTAGGTATAATCATGGGTATGGCACTGTTCCTGCAAAACATTTGCACCAGGAAGCAACTTGACACATGGGTGAAGTTCCAAGTGAAGTAAAAGGCATGAAGTTAATTACCAGCAAGATCTGACATTTAGAAAAGGACTTTAAACAGGATTTATTTAAACACAATTTAGGCTTAATTCACAGCTTAAGTACTTGCACCCAAAACTGAGATTCAAAAAGACCTCTTCAGCGACCTGACCCTGGAGATCCCAACAGTTTCTAATATCTTCCTTCTTCAGCCTGAAACCACCATGCCTATGCACATCCAGAACGGATCAAGCAAACAATCCCCTCCTGCCAAAGACCCTCTACAAGACAGAAACCAGCACAACGCATGTCTGCACACCAAGATCTCCAGAGACATCTGGAGCATCCTTAACAAACCTGCTGCAAGAAGAGGGCTGAGAGCTTTGTCTTTAAAACACTGCCACCCAAGGAATAAAAATACCCAATAGCTCTTCTGCATTAGCCTGATGACCAGAGCTTCTCAGACCTAGTCCAAGTCTCTTGTTGCTTTAAACACATTTAAGGCTACATGCAGCTGCAGAGACATCTGTTTAACACAAAGCTAGAGGTTGTTCTGGATGGGAATATGTCAGAAAGAAATACAAGGTCCCTGTGGCCAAGAGGACAACCCACAAGTAAGAGCCTGCCTCTGTAAACCCAGCAGTTAAGGCATTCACCTCAGAGTGGAAAGTCCTGGATTCTGGCCCCACATCCTGATGATATTTCAACAGCTTGACATAAAATGCACAAGCAGATGCCAGAGAAGGGACTGCCACTAAGTCCTAGCTTAGCTCGAGCCACAAGACACATGCAAAGCAAAGCCCAGGAGGTTCCTGTGGTCCTAAGCAGGTCCCCATGACGGAGGCACTCATTACCTCTGCATCCTGGACATCCTGTGGAGCTCCATGTCGTCACTGCCGCGGAAACCTTTCGCAAAGGGATTGTTCTCAATCTTTAACTGGGTGATCTGAAAGGGAGGAAATGCAACGGGTTCATCGCAAGTCCAAGGCATGGCCTGGGAGAGAGGGGATATCATTTATTAAACCCAAGCCAATAGGGATGAGTAGGGAAAACACAGCTTTCAGGAACTCAAGCCATCCTTCAGCTCAGGCATTGACCATTCCAGATGGGCCTTCCTCTAGATCTCTCCACTGGAAAAATATCTTCTGTCAACAACTTCTTGCTTCTCTCAGGCTTGTCCCATAATTAACATGTAGGACTGTACAAACACACACAGATTTCCCAGTGGAAGAAATCTGCTTTCTTAAAGTTATTTACTTTCTTTTCGGTGTTGGGACAGAAAGTGCTTCACTGGTCAAGACATGAAAGTCATATTACCTGAAAAAGTCCACTGATACCAATGGGTATTTTCTCACCAATGGGCAGCCATGACCAAAACCTTACCTCTCAGATCCTGGATCCTTTCACTCAGACTGGTAATGCTCACCCTTTCTGTATTTCAGACCAGTTAAATGTATTCTAGATGCTCTGCATCTGATATCCTTCTCCAACCAGCCCAACACCTGTAAGCACTGCATGGACTCATTACCTAAGGTACATGAGGGCAACTCCACCTCTGACCATCATGTCCTGGAGGAATACTTATCTCCCCACTAATTAATTCTAGAAGGAATTAAGAGGGACTAATTTGCTCACCTAGTTGGCTACCTTCAGCATCTAAAGGTGAATCCCCTTCAGACTCCTAACTTTTGTCCTCTTACAACATCTAAATTAAACATTTAAAGCATCTGCTATACAGAACGTACCTTTATCCAGAACAAATGTGTTGCCCAAAGAGGTGCAGTCTTCTCCTTCATGTACCTCTCCTGAGGACTTAAGTGAATAGGTTTTCTCAAGCCAGGGGTTCTCTCATTTAAGCAAATATTAACTGTGAACCAGCACATGCTCAAACACCCTGCTGATCTTGTTCAAACTCACTCTGCCATGCCAAATTTGATGCAAATGCCTTGGTGTCTTTGAAGAGCAGGACTGAATCTGGATCAGGTGTGACCCAGCTGCCATGCCCGAATTGAGTGCCAGCCTCACACCAACTGCTCCTCCAGAGCTGGCATGGCAAAGGCAACATGAGCTCTGGCTTATTCAGCAGAAACACAACCATGAACCCATTCATATATGAAATAAGTCTGTCCACTGATAGAGTTTGTTATCAGAGAACCCCAGCCTTGGAGGAAGAGGAGAGGATCAGTCGTTGTGCAAAGTCCCGTACCAGCCTTCCGCTTATTTTTAATATTCAAGCAGAAGAGACAATAGTTTCCCTCCTCCTTCTCTATCACCACCAAGCCCTCAACCAGGAGTCAGGAGGACCATTGCACTTGCTCAGGAAAGGAAACACCACCGTGTTTGTCATTGAAGGAACTTCATGCACTCACCACATTTTATGGACATGCCATCTTTCCTTCCTATTGAAAGTCGGCCAACGGGAAGGAATAAGTTTGAGATTAATGATAGGTGAACAGAGAGAGGTTCCTGTTCACCAAGTCAAGCACACACAACTGGGCCCACGTCTTTGCCAAAATTCAAAGAGAAACATCTGTCTCAGCTAGTGTCAATAGCAAACCCCGCCAGGTGTCTGCACAGCCAGATTATTTTGCTATTTGCTCCTCTTATAGCATATTTTTTTCCAAAGATCATTTGTTTATTTACCATTTTTGCTTATTTCAGCCCTAAATCTCTCACAAAGACCCCTACACTTGTCCTCATGGCATTCCCATTAAATCAAGACCTAATTTAGTACATAAACAGTGCATCACTTTTTTTGTCACACATTTTGGATTTCAAAGAGAAGGATGAACAATCTGTTTGGTCCAATTTGCCATTTAAGCCATTCCCTAGCAGTAAAGCAGGGACAAATTTTATAATTAAAAGCTCTGAATGATTAGAGAAGCAGTTGTGTATTTTGCAAAGAAACTGCCTATTGGTTTCCACCAGAAAGGTGGTGGCATTCCTATAATGAATAATAGGCATTATTCATTTTTTTTTACTATTTCTGTGCAATTTGCATTCTAAAGCACACTACATGTACAAGCTGTCCTCTCTTGCTGAACCCAATGGCAATATTTGCTTGCATAAGTGAAGCCCTTCACTAAGGGAGGATTTAGAGCATTGGCACCAGCACACAAATGTACAAAGGGCCAGATTCATCCCAACCTGACCAAAGGCATTTTAACCAAGGCGCTTGCACTGGGAACCTCATCTCCCAGTTTTTTTCCTGCTGGAATCAATGGAGGGACATGGGCACTGCACTGGGGCTATGAAGTGGGTAGTATTGCCTTTACAGGTCCCCAGTGCTCTCTGCTAACCGGAGAAGTTGCTGTCAACACACTAGCCTCTAACTTAAGGACCTCAGATGAACGCCCTGTTTCATGAATCAAGCCTTTAATCACCCACAAAATGACAGAAAATATACCATATGGGACCTTGATACTGCAGATATGCTGCTCTATGAGTTAAGAAGCCCTCTAAACTTCATCAGGAAGACTCTTACAAGCACTGTATGTGCTGGTGGCAGAAAGCCCCATGTGAACCATGGCTAACTTCAGCGTCCTTAGAATCTGATATTTGCTAGATTGAAGGCATCTAGAAACCAGAGACTCCAGAAGGTTTTTCATTAGGTCTCAACTCTTTGATGATGGATTTTAGCAGGAGTTTTCAGAGCAAAGTTTCCCTAGATTATAACTCATGGCATTAGCCCTAGCACTAGATCAGGAAGGTCCAAGCCAGATTTAACAAAACTGCACACAACAAAATAGAAGATAGAGGAAAAAAAAATCTTGGTGAATCCCTGCTTTAGAAAACAGCCTGTGGAAGATATTTTGTTTAGCCAGCTTTTGGCTGACTTACAAACTACTTCAGAGGTGGAAAAGCAAACAGATGGGTGGAAATAACCTTCTTCTGGAGCAACTTTGCCACAGCGAAACTGTTTAATTGACTGTAATTCATTGCATGGGGGAAATCAAAAGCTGTCAGAAAGTCAAATGACAATTACATCATGAAAAATAAAAAACAAAAATACAATGTTCTGCAAGGTCATTAAGACAGAATGCCCAGGGCTAAATGATATAGCACAGATTCAATAAAACCATAGGGCTTTGCTTAAGTACTTGTTACTAAAAGAAGCTGATGGCAAAATTCAGTTCTGACCACTGATTTCTAAAGCTGCTGCAGACCCTTCTGAGGTAAGAGCTTACCAGGGTGAAGTCTTCCAGATTTACACTTTTCAGAGCTTGTTTGACCTATGGGTTCATCTTCACTTTAACAAGAGGTGACAGTTCCCAGTGAAAACTCAGTGCCACGGTCTGCACTCCTTTCTCTGGGCTAACTGACCACGAAGCACTTCTGCTGAGACTTTTCCCACAACCTCTTTAGCTCCAGCATGATAAAATCTAGCTTTGCATCTAGTTTGTTTGGTTTTGTTTTTTGTCACGGCCATGTATTTATATGGGTATGTGTGTCTACAGGCTCATGAGCACTGTCATGGTCAGGGTCGAAACTACCACTTAATACGATTTTTTATCAAGCACTTGCCATAATAAGATTTTTCTCAATTGCTTCTAACTTTACAAAAATTCGGTAGGACTGAAATGTTCCACAACAGGAGCCCTGGGCTTCTTTTTATTTACTTATTTTGCTGTCAACCAAACTGGTCCCACTTTTGTTTCAGTACTTCATCTAACGGAAAACACCTCTTTAAGCTCTTCTGAAGGCTTTTCTATAACTCCCCTAAAGGATGGGCATTATGGAAAAGTGACTTCATCTTCTGCAAAGGTGGATCTTTAGTTTCTGAACTTTATACTTGTGAACATCTGCCCCACTTGAACAACTTAAAATCTTGAGCAAGGAAAAAAAGATTCACCATTTAGGTCACCCCATTTAAAGTTGCAGAAGTTTGGGTGATTCCCTCTGGCTGAGCATGCCTGGACTGCCCCATGCTGTGGGGATCCATGCTGTCCCTGCCTTGCACGTGGCCATGGTTCTCCTCAGTGTGGCAGAGATGGACCAAGACAATCCCTGCCATTGCTGTAGCCAGCTGTGCTGGGAGCTACTGAGAGGCTGGGCTTCAGGCTTGAAAGCACAGAGCCTTTTTCTTTTGCACTCTCACATACCCCAGGTGGAAACCAAGTCAACATGGAAGAGGAAGCCAAACCAGAGCAGTGGGAAGGAAAGAAAGCAATGAAGACAAGGTGCCTGCTGAGACTGGGTACATCTGGCTGGGCCGAACAGAGAAGTTGGATGGGGAGCTAGGACTCTGAGCCCAAGGTAAAGGCCAGGGAAAGGGGGGGGC